TAACACATGGCGTTCACTGCCACAGGAGGTGGTGGCGGCTACAAGCATGGCCTGATCCAACATTGGCATCTCTTATGTTCTTATTGAATTTAGGTGTGAAATGTAAATGAAGGGTAAGACCCAAAGGCAATTTTGATTTATTTGTACTTAAGTGTGTGGGTAAGCTGCTCTGGCTTCCTGACAGGGAGATTGGAAATACAAAGGCGTATTCATCCCAACCTTTATTGAACATATGACAGCCAAGGGGGCTCTATCTTTTCAATCCTGTGCACCACCCTAGAGAGTTTAATATCGCCATCACTAAATGCTTTCAGCGACAGAGGGCTGGACAGAACCGTATCTTTAAAAAAGTTATCACCCAGCAGGACAAGGAAGACACAAAAAGACCCAGAGGACTGACAGAAAATTCTATATGTATTCTGCACACATGTCAAAGATGACAACTTAACAAGACTTCCCCTGGGTCTCGCTATTTGTCCTGTATCCTCACTGATCGATGGATAAAGGAAGGCACAAACTAGGCATGATCCAGTCCAGAAAGCAGCTTGTTCTTTTGGCAGTACAAGGACAGGAAGTGGTGGCAGCTACAAGCATGGACGGCTTCAAAAGGGAATTAGATAAGCATATGGAGCAGAGGTCCATCAGTGGCTATTAGCCACAAGGTATAGATAGGGACTCTGGGGCAAGTGATGCTCTGTCATCTTGGTGCTTGGGGGGGGTCAACAGTGGGAGGGCTTCTAATGTCCTGGCCCCACTGGTGGACCTCCTGATGGCACTGGTATTTCTGGCCACTGTGGGATACAGAGTGTTGGACTGGATGGGCCTTTGGCCTGATCCAACATTGGCATCTCTTATGTTCTTATGTTCTTATGACTCTCACATTTTCTGAATTAATCTTCAGAGTGCTCACAAGGTACAGCTTTGGCTGGACTGTTTGCTTTCAAATACAGGTTGGAACCGCAGGGCAATGTACCCTTCCCTGCAACAAATCCTTACAAATCTACCGTGAACACATGCAGTTGCTTTATACTGAACTAGACCCTCTGGTCCAAAGTCAGCATTGCCTACTCAGACTGCCAGTGGTTCTCCTGGATCTCAGGCTGAGGTCTTTCACACGGGTCTTTTTAACTGGAGATGCCAGGGATTGAACCTGGCTGGGCCCTTCTGCATGCCAAGCAGATAGCCTGCCATTGAGCCAGGACCCCTCCCCATGCGGAAGACAGTTTACTTTGCACGTTGATTATTGTTTCAACTCAGAGGAATGTTAGCCCAAGGGAGAAATGAGTTGGAACAGGCTCATCCAGATCTGCTCACCACCGACAACTAAAAATGTCACTCTCCATAATCAGGGCCACTAGAAATCCAAACGCCAACCGTTCAGGATAAACTGCAGCTAACACCTCGCCTCTCCATGCCCTGCTGTAAGCTTCCCAAGGACAGAGAGCTGCCCCCTGCTGGTCACAGAATGCTTGCTTAGACGGTTGACCCTGACAAGAGGGGCATTCCTACGTCTTTAGAGCTGAAGATACCGAAAGGAACACTCTTCTTTTTTGCTTTGCTAGAGCGGTGGCAAAACTTAAGATGTAGCAAAACAACACGCCCTTTACGACAGTTCACAAACGGTGGCCAGAGTCCGCTTGGAGTCACACCGGTGCATTCCGCGGCAACACCTCCACAGTCGATTCCCCGTCCCCTTACATCCCTGTTCTGCGGCTTATCAGCTACGTTTAAAGTTCATATTGTCCTTCTGATGGCAGGGCTCGAGGACAGGGGAGAAGTCTCTGCAGGAAAGGTGACACGACTCCTACTTAAGCAAGTACTGGACAGTGGACACAGAAACGACAGGGGCACGGTGCGAGGGTGTCATGAAATTGCGCTTGTTTCTGGAAGGCGGCAGGTTTCACAGCGGCCAGCTGCAATCTCTTGAGTAAAATCTCCCAGCAGGGGCAGGCTTAGCGGTATGGCATGTGCTTTGCAAGCAGAAGTTCCCACATTAAATCCGAGCATCTCTAGATACAGAGTTTCGGGCACCAACACCCAGTTCAATTTCAAAAGCATTACAGGTTTGGACTGGGATGTATAAAGAACAGGGAGATGGACCCGAGAGGCACTTCGTCAGCAGCATGTAGAAAACTGCCTTGTGCTGAATGAGACCCTTTGCCCATCTAACACCCCCCCTCCAAGGTCCCCAACAGGGCCCCCCACTAGCTCAGACCCTTTGAATTAGAGGCAGGGCTCCGCTGAATATTCGACACCAGATTTTGACTCACAAGGGTAGTGGGGGGGGGAGACAAGAGGCTTTACAGAAACCCCCTTTACTCACTTTTCTCCCTCTCCTCTGTTACCCATTTATGGTACTAAGAGCAGCCAGGCCCAAATCTTTTTTATTTTCCATAAATATACTAGAATGGAAGCAGGACAAAGCACTGCCCTCACTCTAATTTGACTTCAGATACCATTATGAAAGCTTCGTGGCAATGCAGCATGCCAGGTAAGAATGAGGGCATCCTGCCTTCCTTCTGGTATTGTGCCCTGCACAGAAAGAAAGAGAATGGTGCTTGGGGGTTGAAAGGGAAGAGTACGGTCACTGCCAGGATTATGAAATAAAGCCACAAAGGGAGGGTTACAGGAAGCTATTCGCCTGAAAAGCATATGTGCTGCATCTGCCCATCTTTGGAATATCGCTCTGTCGCGACACTGTAGCAATCTACAGCATTTGCAACTGGATTGGCTTGTCCACACAGAAAATCCAATCGCAAGTGATTGTTATAGAGAAATGAGAACTCGGTACCCAGAAATGTGTGGATGCAGCCATGGTCTACCTTTCAGCTTTGATCTAGCAGTAGTCTAACCATGGCCTGGGACAGGTCAAAAAACCAGGTAAGATCAGGCAACGGATAGCTGATAAAATAATGCCATATCGTGCAGTATGGAACTGGGCAGGGATGTGCAGTGGTATAGTACAGCCTGATCTCGTCAGTTCTCAGAAGCTAAGGAGAGTCGGTACTTGGGTGGGAGACCACCAAGGAAGACTCTGCAGATGAAGGCAATGGAAAACCTCCGCTCAATAACTTGCCTTGAAAACCCTACCAGGTTGCCATAAGCCAGCTGTGACTTGACAGACACACGGAACTGGGCAAGCATGCAATCAAGCTGGTAAATTAAAGGCCACATCACAGAGGCTTCAAGAGGGCAGCCGGCAAAGAGAAGGGTTTCTTTGCAGCTTCTCGTCAAACCTAGGCCTGCACCTAATACTGTGCTTCCACAGAGGTTTTCCTCTACTTCCCCCCCCCCATCCTCCACTGCAGTAGGTTTTATTTTGACTTCTGCACAAGAATATTGTGCTTCCACAAACCTTCTGGGTTTTCCCCAGTTCTGCCACAGGTTTCCCCAAGCCTGCTTCTGTCTGATGTTTCCTGAAAGAACATACCAAAAAAGGGTTGGGGAAAGCGTAGCACCATTTCTCCAAACCCATCATTCTCCGTCCCAACTTGGGGGCTTTTGGCAGTTCAAGAAAAAACCCCAGGAAAAAGCCCCCTTGCAGGCAGGGCCAGGGAAAATGGTGGGCACAAGGGAAATGAATGCGGAAGGGTTCTGTTGCCAGTGGATTAGCAATGAGAGCACAATGAAACTGCCCTTGTGTGAAATCAAGCAGAGTTAAGTCATGTTGGGATGAAAAAGACTGGAGAGAACCAACTGTCAGGTGGGCTTGTGAACAACGGCTTTGAAAGGACACTGTATTTCAACAGTAGCACTCTTCAAGATGAAGAGCCCCTCACTCTTTCAAGTGGTGGGTCCTGAATGTAGAAGTGGGAATATGTGTACAAAATTTTTATTCCATTGGAATAAAAAATATCAACTTTGAATATACTGTTAAAGTCTAAAGAACTTGTTCAGCAATATGTTAATTTTGTACTGATATCCTGTTGCTGGGTCCTTTGTTGAAAACAGAAGTGGGAATATGTGACAGTATGGATAATGCATTACTGGGCTATTGGCCAGCTGGAACAGGCTGTTATCCGATGTGGCTCTAGCCCTGCCAAATGGACCAATCAAATCGTACCAATTCCACTGCATCAACATAAGGGAGGGACTCCATGAAAGAAGTCTCATTTTCACTCTGGCTTTCTTGCAGAAATACAGGGTGTCTACATGAAAATCTTTACAGCTTTGGATAAGTACAGCTTCTGAATGGGGTCACATAATGCAGTTTTTGTCCATATGGTAAAACAACTCAAGGAAGTCTGTCACAGCAAAAAAGAAATTAGCGTTCAGCCAACCCTACACCAGGAGATGACTGATAATGTTGCGACAGTAGATGCAAGCATGCTTGAACAAACCTGGACAGTTAAAGCAAGGGTCTCCAACGTGGTGCCCATCGGAGCCATGGTGCCCGCCAAGTGTTTTCAGGGAGTGTTTAGGGTCAAGTAGGGCTTTTGCTCAGCAAGGCTTCTGAATGACTACTGGAGATTTGATTGGCTGTACAGACTTTTTAAAATGTTGCTTTGGCAGCAGCTGCCACCACGTCAAAAGAATCTTCACTGTGTGACTGAAGTAAAGCTATGGCGGTCATTTAGTGGCTGGCTGCACCTCCTGTGGCAGCCATTTTGTTGTTGCCGTGTCAGAATTCCAAAGGTGCCCACAAGCTCAAAAGGTTGGGGACCTCTGAGGTAAAGTATCGGCTTGATATCTTTCCAGATGACGGGGGGCCCTCATGTCAAAGTGGAATTTGGATCTGTATGTAAAATTAACTTTTGGATATGTTCTATTATTCAGCAGAGCAAGTGTCATTATTATATTTGTTGTCATTCACCATTTATTGTGATTCAAAGATTTCCCGCTTTCACCTGGACACTGTACTGTACTAGACATACTTCATAACCTGTATTCCTCCTCAGTGGGGACTCAAAGCAGCTTTCGTCATTCTCCTGTCCTTTATCTCCACAACAATCCTATGAGGTAGGTTAGGCGGAGAGTGTGTGACAGGCCCAAGGTCACCCAGCAAGCTTCCATAGCGGCGGGGGGAGGAGATTTGAACCAGGAGTCTCCCAGATTAAGATTCTAACCACTTCACTACACTGGCTGCCATAAGCCCGATCGAAGAAAGCAGGAAAAGAACAACCACACACTCATATGGTTCTGCTAATTCGTACAAAAGATTATTTTCATTACAGCCACAAAAAAACAAAACAAAAAACCAAACTATAGGAAGTTACATGATTGCAGAATTAGGAAATGCTACAAAAATAGAAATGAAACCGCTCAAGCCAAAGTCCAAGAAACCAACCAGGTCATTCCTTTTCTTTCAAGACGTCAGTCAGGAAAATAATGTTATCTGGAAGGGGAGGAAATAAAGGAGAGACGCATCACACACTTGAACGTATTCATCTGCTTTAAGGCAAGAGAGGGTTGGTTCCACCTAGCTCACTACGGTCTCCTCCGACCACCAGGGTTTCAAGCAGAGACTCTGCTCTGCAACTAGAGATGCCAAGGACTAAAACAAGAAATGAAACGTGGGCTCCAACGTGGAATGATGCCCACCTCCTCTGGCATAAAAGGCACCAAAACTCTGTGAAGACAGCATAACCCCAAATGGCTGAGCATCTTGTACGAGCCCCCTAGATATTAAGTATCCATGACTAAGGCCTGGCTCTGGATGCCTTCGCCTTTGAAGGCTGCGATCCTAAGCACACGGACTAGGGAGTAAGGGCCACCGAATACAGTAGAACTCAGTTCTGAGCGCCGGATTGCTCTGTAGAGGTGATGCTTGAGATTTGTGATTAAGATCTCTCAGTGTCTTGAATCCTGGTTAAAAGCAGCTATGGGGGAGGGGTTAACCTGTCCCCCCCCTCCCCACCACACTGATACCAGCCTTGGTAAAACAATAGAGAGCCCTGACTTGGACAGCCCTGGCTAGTCCGATCTCATGAGATCTCAGAAGCTAAGCAGGGTCGGCCCTGGCTAGTATTTGGATGGGAGACCACCAAGGAAGTCCAGGGTCACCATGCAGAGGCAGGCAATGGCAAAGCCCCCTCTGAACGTCTCTTGCCCTGAAAAACCTACAGGGTTGCCAAAGGTCAGCTGTGACTTGAGGGCATTTTCCACCGCCAAGGCGATAAACTGACTGGCATCCTACCCACCCACCGGCGGCATGCATCCAGCCTTGGGATGGAGGAGTTCTTCCAGCCTAAATTGCCTTAAATTAAAGGGGCTCTTCTGTTGGAGGAAGGCTTCAAACTCTGCTCAGCTGAGCGACAGGATTACAGGCCAGTGTCATTCACAGCCTGGAATGGGGGTGGGTGGGGTTTCTATCCAGGAAACAGTGCAGGGGGGAGGTTTAAACTCCACCCCCTGGTGATCCTGATCTAACCCCCCCCCCCTAAAAAAATACCCTGGTTTTAAATAAATATCAGAATCCCCGGAAGATCTGATCCGGGATCTCCTGCATTTTAAGTCGTTATACTCTTCACGTGACAACTACAATAAACTTGGGGGGGGGGGCGGTCAGCACTCCCTTCCCATATAAGTCCAACAGGCCAACTGATGTATGAAACTAGATGTCTTTCTCTCTTTTTTTGGTCTTACTAAGATATTTTGTAAGCTGAATTTGGGGGGGGGGGGTCCTCTTCTGAATCCAGGCTGCTGACTCTATTTGCCAGATTCCATTGCGATTTTCCACCACCATCACAGTAGTAATAGGATAGGGCTTTGTGCTGTTTGTGGCTCTGAGGCGTCCAGCAGGGTAAGACTGGAATAAATCCACACATATATCTGCCTGATATTTGCAATTCAAAAAGCACTACAGCTTGCTGACCTCACTGGGCCTGGGCATGCCTCACTCCACACAGGACTGAGCTGGTCTCCTCTTGCCAGGAACAATTAACAATTGCTTGAGGCCCATTCGGTCTGAGGTGCATGCCGGTGGGAGAGACTGCAAGAGTTATGGAATGCGTCTAGTATGCAGGCATTAAGGTACTCAATTCACAGGCACAGACGTCACCATCTCCTCCTCGGAAGGTATTCAAAGCCTCACTCTGTTGCCAGTTAGAGGCAGGAAGCTGAGAGGGAATAAAGTGACTTCCCACTATCGGGGAAGCAGCCAGACAGACGAGTATTTCCGGCTAAATTCTTGAAGCTGAGTTTTCAGACAAGGCCCGCTTTCATTTAGAAAGCAAACACGAACTGCCTGCCCTCTGCCAGAGCACGGAAAGCACATCTAACAATACCAAAATAGCTAAACTTCCTTGGCTTGCATTATGAAGCCTGCACAAATACCCTCCTAGCTGAAGTCTTGTTATTAGTACCCAACAGCAACACCTAGTGGTGAACACCACAAAACTGCACAAATTCTATCTTTTCGGATTTAAAAACCAAGGACCAGGCATGGAAAAGGGGTGAGGCACTCCAAAGGGATCTGTCGAGGATGGGCGAGTGGGTGTCAACGTGGCAAATGGGGTTCAATGTGGCCAAGTGCAAAGTGATGCACATTGGAGCCAAAAATCCTAACTACAAATACACGCTGATGGGGTCCAAACTGGCAGAGACTGACCAAGAGAGAGATCTTGGAGTCGTAGTAGATAACTCAATGAAAATGTCAAGACAGTGTGTGACTGCAATAAAAAAGGCCAACGCTATGTTGGGGATTATTAGGAAGGGAACTGAAAACAAATCAGCCAGTATCATAATGCCCCTGTATAAATCGGTACATCCTCATTTGGAGTACTGTGTACAGTTCTGGTCACCACACCTCAAAAAGGATATTATAGCATTGGAAAAAGTGTAGAAAAGGGTAACTAGAATGATAAAAGGGTTGGAACACTTTCCCTATGAAGAAAGGTTAAAGTGCTTGGGGCTCTTTAGTGCGGAGAAACGACGGCTGAGGGGTGACATGATTGAGGTTTATAAGATTATGCATGGGAAAGAGCAGGTAGAGAAAGAGGTACTTTTCTCCCTTTCTCACAATACAAGAACTCATGGGCACTCCATGAAATTGCTGAGCGGTCAGGTTAGAACAGATAAAAGGAAGTACTTCTTCACCCAAAGAGTGATTAACACTTGGAATTCACTGCCACAGGAGGTGGTGGTGGCTACAAGCATGGACAGCTTCAAGAGGGAACTGGATAAACATATGGAGCAGAGGTCCATCAGTGGCTATTAGCCACAAGGTATAGGGAGCTGGTCCATGGGGTCGCAAAGAGTCGGACTCGACTGTGCGACTGAACAACAAAATAGATAGGAACTCTCAGTCTGGGGCAAGTGATGCACTGTATTCATGGTGCTTGGGGGGGGGGGGGCAACAGTGGGAGGGCTTCTAGTGTCCTGGCCCCACTGCTGGACCTCCTGATGGCACCTGGTATTTTTGGCCACTGTGTGACAGAGTGTTGGACTAGATGGGCCATTGGCCTGATCCAACATTGGCTTCTCTTATGTTCTTATGCGGTCGAAATATCTGGGCAACAGTAACAGCATTCCCTGTACAACAACCCCTCCAGGTTTTGACACATAAAGTTGATACCTGCAATGACTGTCGTAGCTTGCCGTCTCACGTTGTTTTTGTCCGTATATTCCCCATAGTCTATCTTCCCTTCCACATAGATTCGAGCACTATAAGGAGCAGATTCAGACACCTCAATTTATTTTATCTTTTTACCTCATTTATACCCCACTTTTCTCCCCAAGGAGGACTCAGAATGCCTTACAACATTCTCCCCTTCTTTATTTTATCCTCCCAACAACCCTGTGAGGTAGGTTATGCTGCGCATGTGACTGGCCCAAGGCCACCCAGCGAGCTTCTATGGCAGAGCGGGGATTTGAACGTGGGTCTCCAGGATCCTAGTTCATCCACCACACCATGCTGGTTGTAGTCCTTGCTTTTAATTTTGTTTATTTAAAGACATATATCCCGATTTTTAAAGGTCTAGCTGAAAGCAGCTAATAATATACCAAACTGAAGATACAATCAACCAAAATAAACCCTAAGACCATATAAAACACCACCAGCACAAACAGCCGTAGTTCAATAAATTCACCTCAGTCTAAGCACCGCAGCATCTTTTTTAGACAACAAACTTTCAGAAAGAGCACAGCTTTAGCCGCTTGTTGAAATGACGAAAAGGAAAGGGACAAGCCACGCTTGCTTCAGCAAGAGAGGGCGCTTGGTCTAGTGGCTGAAATGTGGGACACACCCATTTTCCAATCCCCACTCTGTGGATGACCTTAAGCTAATCACATTCTGTCAGCTTCACCTGCCCGACAGGGTTGTTTGGAATGTCAAATGGAGGAGGAGAAATTGATTAACGCTGCCCTCCGCTTCCTGCTGCATAGAGGCAGGACTGCCACAGTGAAAGAACACGTTGTCCCCAAAGGCAACCATACTTGGCGGGTTACTGGAACCACCACCAGACTTCATCTGCTGAGCCCATTTAGCAAGTGGGTAGATATTGATTCTATTTATTTAATTAATTTTGTAATGAAATAATCTAATTATTTAATTAATTCTCCTCTCGTCCATTTCACCCTCACACAACAACCCTGTGAGGTCTGTTAGGCTGAGAGGGTGTGACCGGCCCAAGGTCACCCAGCAAGCTTCCATGGCACAAGTGGGGATTCGAACCCAGGTCCCCCAGATAGTAGTTCGACACTCTTAAATCATTACACCACACTGGCTCTCTATATATAGAGTGAGAGCACCTCAGCTTACTTCCTCATATTTTTCTTATCTATCAGACATGTTTTTTATTCAGTCAAAGGGCTCAAGATGGCACCCAGAGTTCTCCCCTCCATACTATGGTATCTCACAACAACCTCATGACGTGGTTCGGCCTGAGACTGGCCTCAAGTCACTCAGTGAGATCCATAGGTATGTGGGGATTTGAACCTTCCAATTCCTAGTTCAACACTCTAACCACAATGGACCCATGAAACCATGTTTCCCTGTGAGAAAGAGCACAGTCGAATGAAATGCTGGGGGCAGCTAAACGCCCTCCTTCCTTGAGTGCCATAGTCTCAATCTAAATCAGGGCTGCATGGCCTTTGAAATAAGTTTCAAGCACAGACCACACACAGCACATCTGACTCTAAACCCATGGGGCAGACACACAGCCTCCACGTGTGAAAGTGCTTACAGTGCTCTATACAGTACTCTACACAGAATTTCTCCTGTCAAAATTCCACTGAAATGCAGGATTACCCTGTCGCTGAGTGTGGAGAGGAATAATCTGAGCAGAAGACTAGTGGACTCATAGCCACAACTCCAGATCTTCTGTTTTTCCCCTCACCATACCATAAAACCATGATCTATTATTACTGGCACCAGTTTAGAGCTGGGACCCCAGACAATTCCCCAGTTCAATGACTGCCTATTCTTCGGCTGTGGTCACTATTCCATAAAGCCGGTAATATTTTCTCCCACACTTGTTTATTAAAGTATTTAACATGAATTTCAGCCACCAAAGCATGTCAACAGGCACGAGACACTGGCTGTATATTGCTAGACCCCAAAGCCTGACAACACATCTTGGCCTGTAAACTTCACACAGACGTTCAGCCGTCCAAACCTCACCCGGCAATTGGGCAAATCTACTTCCAGCAGACCCCACAGCGGATGCAACCCCCCCGTTTTGGCCTTCTCATGTCTTGGCAGCTAATGGGGAAAAGAACAAACTAGATTTCAGTAGAGGTCAACCTGTCCAAGACCATGTTAGAAAGTGAGCTAGTCTTTCAAGGAGTCTACGCTGGTGTCTCCTGGAACACGGGGTTCCTGCTCTTATTAATGATTTCTGCACACAGGCACGATCCAATTCTACTCACCCCTTCTTGACGTACTGATAAGCCACATCTCTCAGGCCCGGCCTGAACACGGAGACCCTGTGCCACGTTGTTTTCTGGGTGATGTCACCTGAGTCAAATGAAGCAGAAATGCCCATGAGTTCTTGGCCCTTGCCAGAGCAGAGGTTACAGCTTCCAATAGCGAGCCTCCCTTGTTTCGGTAGAGAGACATCTATGCTACACTCGAACAACACGTTAAGATCTACATTAAAATGACATGTGCATGAACACAGCTAACTGCCAGGCTTGTGTGGTCAGTTCTGCCTCCCTTCTTGTACAGAGAATACTGATTAGAAATCATCTCTGGCTACTTAATGACATATAAAGGTGTGAAGACTGTAAGACGAGCCCTGCTGGGTCAGATCCGTGGTCTGTCTACTTCAGCTTCCAGTTTCAAATGGCGGCTCACCAGGGAACTGTTCCACAGGGCCAATCAGACAGGGCACAGAGGCCAAGACCCTCCCCTGATGTAGCCTCTTAGCACCAATGCTCAGAGGTCTGGTGCCTCCATGGAGGTTCCCTTTACTCATCATGGTTAGTGGCCATCGATGGACCATGAATTTACTGAACCCCCTTTTAAAGCAGTCTTTGCCCACAAACATCATGACCTCCACTGGCAAGAGAATTTACTCACTGAGTAAAAACCTATTTCCTTTGTCTGTCCTGAACCTATTGTCCATCAACTCAGTTGGGTGCTGGTATTTTGGGAGAGAGAGAAAACACTCTCTCTATCCCCCTTTCTCTGCCTCATCCATAATGTCATAAACCTCTATTATGTCCCCCACCTCATCCATCTTTTTTCTAAACAGAGGAGTCTCTTTAGCCTTTCCCCACAGGGTTAACAAGAATTAACATTTCCTACACAGAGATTCTAAAACAGGGTTTTATCCGGGCTTACGTTCCTAGTGTATTAACCAATTCCAGTTAACGTAGGCATTGGCACTTGTATGCCACTGGTACATAAGAACATAAGAGAAGCCACATTGGATCAGGCCAACGGCCCACCCAGTCCAACACTCTGTATCACACAGTGGCCAAAACCCAGATGCCATCAGGAGGTCCACCAGCGGGGCCAGGGCTCCAGAAGCCCTCCCACTGTCCCCCACTCCCCCAAGCACCAAGAATACAGAGCATCACTTGCCCCAGACATTGTGTTCCATCTAGACGTTGTGGCCAATAGCCACTGATGGACCTCTGCTCCATATGTTTATGATGGACCTCTACTCCATATGTTTATCCATTAGCCAGCATTAAACTTCTAGCTGGGGATTCTCCACACAATGGAAGGGAAAGGAAATGGCACGCAGGTGCTAGCCTGGGTACATGAACATGTTGATTCCATGTAGGGCTTAACATGACCTGTGAGTGCAGCCCTGCTGAATCAACGGCATGGTAGAAAACACAGAAGAAACTCAGTCCCTGGTTAGAAATCTAGATCCTTAGCAGCCTCTGAGCAACAAGCGAATAGAAGACAGTGGGTGGGAGGAAATCAGAAGCTAGTAGTAGGCTAAGAAAGGTGAAGGCGGCTACGGAAAGGCAAAGAACCTGGAGAAAGGGCCCAAAAAAGGCCTGGAACAGGAAGTGCAGGCAGCACGATACGAGAAAGGGATCAAGGGTCCCATGGAGCAAAGAAGAAGAAGAGAAGAGACTGGATTTATACCCTGCCCTTCACTACCCAAAGGAGTCTCAGAGTGGCTTACAAACTCCTTTCCCTTCCCCTCCCCACAACAGACACCCTGTGAGGTAGGTGGGGCTGAGAGAGCTCTGGCAGAAACTGCTCTTTTTTCAAGAACAGCTCTTGTCAGAGCTACGGCTTGCCCAAGGCCATCCGGCCAGGTGCAAGTGGAGGAGTGGGGAATCAAACCCGGTTCTCCCAGATTAGAGTCCGTGCACTTAACCACTACACCAAACTGTAGAGCAAGAAAAGATGCAGGGAAGCAGAGGAAAGAGACAGTCCAAGAACAGCTAGGTAGGAACTCCGTCTCACCTTAGAGACCAACAAGGTTTTCAGGGTCTGGGCTTCTGAGAGTCAAGGCCCCCTTTGCCAGATATCTGACTCTCGAAAGCTCATCCCCTGGAAATCTTGCTGGCCTCTAAGGTGAGACCGGGTTCCTCCCTAGCTGATCTACTGCGGAGTAACGCAGCTGCTCTCTCAAACAGTCCAAGGACAGCAGCCACCCAGGCCAGTCTTGTGAGACAGACTTCAGTAGGACGGGAGGCACGGTCCCAGTTTCATTTACACGCCAAGACGGGCCCCGAACATGTTGCGTATTAGCCCCGCCCCACCTCCCAAGGGGCGCACGCGCACTCACTTCCTTGGAACACTTCGCTCTCTCCCGATCGCCACATCTCGTTGGTTGCAAGGCTGAAAATCGTGACGGGATTCTTCCCTTCTACCTGCCTCATGACGGGATCCTGTCCGACGCGGCCGAGCAGCTGGATACGATTCAGTGCTAAAGACAAGACAGAGTATCAGGAGCCGAAGAAATGGGGAAGGGGGTCAAGATGGTCGAAGGGGAAACAGGCTCGACAAGGTCAACAATGGATCAGTGGACTGAAAGAATAACCCAGCTAACCCTTGGGAAGTACACCTGAGCAGGAAAGATAGCTTTTGCATTCAAGACCTTTCAGGGATGGGAACTATTCATGGTTAAATTAATATTAGCTTCTTGAGGGATATAGTGTCGCGGTCAGACTACTAGACTAGGAGCTGGGAGACCCCGGTCTGAATCCCCAGTCTCCCAGGAAAAGCTCTCTGGAACCCCAGTGTCTTTTAGCGTAGCTTCACTCATGCCAACCAGCAGATGGCGCAAGCTAGCTCCATTTAGTCAGATCTCGGAAGCTAAGCAAGGTCGGCCCTCACTGGTACCTCCCAAGGAAGTATAGGGTTCCTATGCAGAACCAGCAATGGCAAACCACGTCTGTTTGCCTCTTGCCTTGAAAACTCTACGAGGTTGCCATAAATTGGCTGCGACTCGACAGCAATTTCCACCACCAACCTGACTCACAGGATTATTGTTGTGAGTGTAACGGTCGAGATAAAGAAGTTCTGAAGAAATGAGCAGTGACTCACGAAAGCTCATCCCCTGCCACAAATTTTGTAAGTCTTTAAGGTGCTACTGGACTCTCTTTCCTACTGCTACAGACAGACTAACACGGCTACCCATCTTGTAGAGATAAAGAGAATGATGTAAACTGTTTTGAGGCTCCACTAGGGAGAAAAGCAGAGTATAAGTACAGAGACAAATTCACGGAGTCTAAGTCCCGGAAGTAGCCATGATAGATAGGTGAAACCATCATGTACAGAAATTGCGTAATTGTTTTAACTGTTTAACTGCTTTATATTATTATGTATCCTTAAACTCTGTTTTTAACACTTCTTATTGTCTGCCTCCTCGAGGACCATGAGTTGGGTGGAAAGACAGCATGAAAATGCTTTAAAAACATAAAATAAAATAGAGGAGAAACAGTATACCCCTGAATATTAGATACTAGGAACACACAACAGGGGGGGGGGCGATATAATTCAAGCCCGGCTTGTGAGCATCCAAATTCACCTCACTGGGTGCTGGTAAAAACAGAACGCTCGAACAAAGAGATCATGGTCTGATCCAGTATCAGCTAAAGTTTTTATGATCTTATGTTATAACCAGCATCGTTAAGCAGCTAAAAAGTCTCTGGCTGGTAGCTGTCCCTAAGTAAGAATCCACATTGCTCCAGTGGGTTGTGTGCCCCCCCCATGAAGGTTACCTCTTTGAGGCAACACAAATGTGCAAAATCTTATTTACTTCATTTATAGCCCACTTTTCTCCTCAGTGGGGACCTAAGGTGGCTTACATCCTCTTCCTCTCCTCCATTTTATCCCAGCTACTCCCGTGGGTAGCTCAGAAGACAGAGGGAGCGACAGGCCCAAGGTCACTCAGTGCTCTTCCATTGCAGAGAAGAGATTCAAGACTTGGTCTCCCAGATCCCACATCTGACACTCTAATCACTACAACCGCACTGGTTCTTGATTTTGGGGCATGGGAAGGAGTAAAAATCTATTTTCTAAGAGTGAAAAGGCTGGAATGGTGATCTAGGTCAGAGCTGAACTAGAGGATTCACACCCCTGCCCCAGGGGTTGGACTCAACAGCTATTTCGTTATTATTTTGATTTTTTAAAATTCTATTTAACTATTATTTTAATTTTTACACTTCAGTTTTTATTATAATTGAAAGGCAGAAACCCTAGAGGTCTGATAGACTAAAGGGCAGTATGTATGTGTGTGTGTGTGTATGTATATAT